CAGATCTTTCCAAGCCCCTTCAGTGACTTCCCAGAGCATGTCAAAAGACATCTCAAACCTACCATGACCTGCACAGCCCAGTCAGCCATTGCTGTCATCTGGATCTGTCCCTTTCACTCACAGGACTCAGCTGCCCTGGTTCCTGGGGGCTTCTGGAACTCTCTGCCACTCCCTGTCCCCAACCTCCTCCCCTACACCTGTCCTGCCTGGCACACTCTGCTCTCCTCTTCACTCCCCCTTCCCCCAACTTTCCCACAGCTGCCTCCTTGGCTCAGATACCACCTCCTCAATGTCCTGTCCTGACAAATTGATCTTAGTGGCCTCCCACCTCTATTATCCTCTATTTCCTTCAAGGCATGAACAATTTGTGATTATTCATTTCTTATTATCAGCCACTTCCCCCATAATTGGGTCCCCATGAAACCCCCAATGCCTCCTTCCATTAGAGCCATCTGTGAGCCATCTGGTGGGTTGTTATGGACTCAATGTTTGTGTCCTGCCAAAATTCAAGTTCAAATACACCCCCAGTATAGATGTATTCAGAGATGAGGCCTCAAAGGAAGTAATTAAAGTTATTTGAGATCACAAGGATGAGGTCCTGAACTGGGATCTTACAAGAAGAGTCCCTCCTCTCCACCATATTACACACATTCAGGAAAGGCCACATGAGGACATTACAAGGAGAAGGCTGCTATCTTCAAGCCAGGAAAATAGCCCTTGAGAGAAACCAATCCTGCCAAATGTTAATGTAGGACTTCCAGCCTCCAGAACTGAGAAAACACATCTGTTGGTTAAGCCGTCCAGCCTATGGTCTCTTGTTACACAGCTGGAAGAGGCCCTTCAGTACTTGTTTTATTTGTACCACCTTCTTCCTACTTCTTGCTATAGTACTCAGCTTGTGATGGGGACTCTGAGAATTTATTTAGTGAATGAGTGAATCGTTCCATTCATACTGCATTTCAAGACACCTGCAAAGTTGTGAAAGCAAGGAGACCTGGGCTGGGAGTTCCAATCTCACCATTGAACACTCACTGTGTCCCTTCCTGTCTCTGGCCTCAGTAAGATAATATAACCCAACAAGATGAGTCAAGTTCCCTCTAGTGACAAGATGACATCATTAGAATTGCTGTACTCTATGGGGCACTGACTGTGACCCGGGGATGGAACTTGTTCCTTTTCTCATTTAATTCTTACTCTTGCCTACAGATATATCCATCATTGCTTTATAACTGGAAGGGGTGAGCATGGTGGCAAAGTAGTGACTCCCAAAAAGGGGGGAGTGCCGCTAGCATTAAGAATATTGTCCTTTAGCTGGTGGAGTGGCTCAAGCAGTAAAAGCACCTGTCTAGGAAGCATGAGACCTTGAGTTCAAACCACAGTGCTTCCCAAAGAAAAAGAATACTGTCCTTTATCCCTTCCAGCTTGTGGGGATTGAAACAGCCTCTGTGTCTTTTTTTTTTTTTCAGTACTGGGACTTGAACTCAAGGCCTTCATCTTGAGCCACTCCACCAGCCCTATTTTTGTGAAGGGTTTTTCAAGATAGGGTCTCACCAACTATTTGCCCAGGCTGTCTTTGAACCACAATCCTCCTGATATCCACCTTTTGAGTAGCTAGGATCACAAGGGTGAGCCACCAGTGCCTGGCTCAGTCTCTCTTTCAAGAGATAATGCTGATGACGTAAAGGTCTGTAGAGAGAAATGAGAACTTGGCCATCTATGCCAGTCCTAACATTTGGAATTTGGTAATGCATAAAATCTCGAAGACTTGAACCACATAAACTATATCCATGGAAGGGATTTCTGTTTTTTCAGAGTTTCTACAATGCACTAGGCATAGTGGAGGAAAACCAAGATCACTAAACTGCAGCTTCAGAAGCACATTCCAAGAGGCCTGGATTCAAATCAAAACTCTGCCTCTATCTAGGACTAACTGAGTCACTTTACCAGTGAAGTAACCCCTCTGAGCCTTCGTTTCCTTGTCTGTAAAATGGGGTCCATGCAACACACTGGTCTAGAGACTGAAGCACAGGAAAGACTCAATACATATGATTACTATTGTTATAATTTAGCGGAGAGAAGGGAGGCCACAATCCCTGAAGGGATGGATACCCAGGGAAGAGGGACGGGGTGATGAATTTCCATTTGGGTGGGAGTCATCAACTTCTATCTCAAAGGAGTACTGTGTTCATTTCTCCAGTACGTATGACCTCGGGCAACTCATTTCTTAGCTCTCTACCTTGGTCCTGAAATCATTAAAAGCTATTTATTGCTGCCTTGTTCACAATAGGCAAGATAGGGAGTCAACCAAGGTGTCTATCAATGAATGAATGGATAAAGGAAATGTGGTATATATAGTGAACTGAATACTAGTCAGCCATAAAAGATGACAAAAATCTTGCCATTTATGACAACATGGAAATCATGTTAAGTGAAATAAGCCTGGCACAGAAAAACAAATGCCACACAATTTCACACATGTGTGGAATCTGAAAACGCTGAGCTCACAGAAGTAGGGAGTAGAATAGTGGTTAGCGGTGGTCAGGGAGAATGGAGAGAAGGAGCAATGAAGAGAGAGTGATACATTCTGATATTCTGTTACACAGAGAGTAATAATGACGCTCAGCTATATTATACAAAATAACTAGAAGAGAGAATTCTGGCTTCTCATCAGGCAGAAATGACAAGTGTTTGAGATGACGGATAAGCTAAGTATCCCAACTTGATCAATGCACAAGCATACCAAGTCATCATGCTGTGCAATTGCCATCAATTAAAACCAAGGGAAGCAATGACTGTCACCTCACACAACAGTGAACTCAGATTTTGACCAGTATTGGAATTACCTAATGAACTCAGTCAACATGCACAGACCCAGGTTCTACGCCATACGGGTCTTAGTCTCCATGTTTATTAACATCTTTCCACGTGACTTCATACAGGCTAAGCTTCATTTAAAGAATGAAACAAAGCTCTCCGAGAACTCTAAAGGGTCATAAAATTGTTAGCATCATTAAATGCCATTTGCTCCACTCTCTAGGAGCTGTCAAGTAGACAAGCTGTCCTCACACAAGGTGCACCAGCCCCACCCAAGGGAAGCTGGGTGACATCCTAGCATTACAGAGGATCCCACCCATATCCCTGGGGTCCTCAGGCCTTCAGAAGTCATCTACAACCTAGCACCCACTTCACAAAGGGGAAAGTGGGGCTCAGAGAGGGACAATGCCCTTCCCATGGTCCCAGTAGCCTTGAGGTAGGGCTGTAATGGAGCCCAAGTCTGCAGATGCCTCAGCTAGTGTCGCAAGGGCTGATTTCGGACACCTCTGCCTGGAAGAAGCCCTCTTGTCTTCTGCTGACCAGCAGCGCTACAGCTAGTGACCTGCAACCCCATCCCACACACCAAGTTTCTTTTTCTGCTGATGACATCTGAGAAGGTCCCCAGCCAAACACCGATATTCCAGCAGTCCCTTTCTGAAGGGTCTTCTGCACCTTGACACATTGCCTGGAAGGGAACAGAGCTCTCTCTGTCTGTGAGACGAAATCAAAGATTACAACCAAACTGCAGAATCTCAATTGCAGGTCACAGAACACAGTCTGCTATTCCACAGACCAGAAATAGCGCCACGCAATAGTGCCAGACAAAGGCACAGAGGGCGTTTCGCAAACCACAGCAAGTGTTTCAGTTGATTCAAGGCAAAAGCTTGAAGGGTGGGGCCAGCACTTAAACCAAGGAGACAGGGTGGTAGTCAAAGCTGCAGACTACAGACATAGAAGGACCAGGCAGGGGTGGAGTTGAGCCTCTGCCAAGTACCAGCTGTACATCTGGCAAACCTTTGCCTCACTGAGCCTCAGTTTCCACATCTGTAAAGACAAAATAATGGTGCTACCCAGAGAGATAGCCAGACTTTGTGGAGCCTAACACTTACACCATTCAGGATGAGGGAGGAGCAGTAAGGGGTAGGCAGAGCATCTTTAAGGGGAAAAAAATTACAAATTCAAAATTACACATGAGACCTTGAAAGAGCCCCATGCAAGGGAGGGACCCAGAGAAATCTATCTTGGATCTACCAGCTAGCAGTGAGATTTTTTAAGCTCTTGGCCCACAGTAAGCCCTCAATAAATGTTAGTTGTGGGGAGGAGATGAAGGGGAGAGAGTTGTATGGCTTGAGTAAAATGCTATAATTTTGTGGAAGGAAGAAATTTTGGCTTGCTCATCTGCACTGAGCAGAGATAATGACAGGGAATGGTATCCCAAAAAACACCCAAGACCTTCTTTAGCTTCAGAGTTCTAGCCTCAATGTCATGTGTGACTCTGAACAAATCACACCCTCCCCAGGCACCATGTCCTGCCCAGGAAAATGCCACTGGGAATTGTACAATCTCTGTCTCGTCCTCGTTCCCAAAGATCTTGTACTCTCTCTGTGTTACCTCAACTAGGGAAGCCAGCGACTGTTCCTTTTCTTTCCAACTTAAGAAAGGGTGCTCTTAGAAGAGACATCTTACAACGGGCTGTGGAGTTGGTGAGATATTTAGAGGGTGTGTGTGTGTGTGGAATTTTCGTGGAGGCAGAAATGAGGTATTGTAAAAACAAACAAACCCCTAAAAAATGGTCTCTGATTCCAACTCTGTCACTTTCTAATATGTGACCTCACCCAGATTCCTTTACTTCAGTAAGTCTTCGTTATTTAATTTATAGGACTAAATGAGGAAATATGAATAAATACTTAGAAGTGTATCTATTCCCTAGCAAAGTGCTTAATAAATAGCTAAGCACTAGTCATTAAAATCACTAGGACTGTAGCTGTTGTCACCATTACTGTGGTTGGCTAATACCAATAAGGGTCACAACTCCCTTTCCAGATCCCTCCTTCCTCTCCTCCTCCCGCCCTGGGCTTCCTCAGGCAGGAGGAGGCGGTGCCTCTGGACAGTGGGCGGGGCCTCGTTCCAGCCCCGGCCAAAGCAGCTCTGAAGCACCCAGCCCGACTTGCCCCTTCAATCTAGACGCTTTCCTACCTGTCTCCTTCCAGCGCAGATCCCCTAGTCACCTTGAGCTTGTCCTTTCTGAAGCAGTCATGTCAGTGACAAAGAGTGCTGGGGACCATCAGGGAGCTGTTACCCTCAAGCTGGACCTTATGTCATCTCCCAAGAGCACCAAGGAGCTCCAGAACAAGGACCCCATTTTCTTGGATGCAAGGTCTTCAGAAACACCTGGATTGGAGAAGAGCAAGGGCATAACGTGAGTGCTGTTTCCTGCCATCCCCATTTCTGTCTTCCAGGCCCATTGCTTGAACACAGGCAGCAACCTGGAGGTAGGTGTACCTGACTCTCCACCCATTCTGCAGGTGGGAAAACCAAGTTTGCAAAAAGTGCACTAAGGGGCTGTGTCAAATGAGAGTTTAAAGGGGCAGGAGAGGAGTCAGAAAAGCCCTTAGAATAGATGTGGGGAAACCAAAGCTCCAGGTTTGTGCCCAGGCCACACACCAAGCCATTGGCAGGAGAAGGGCTAGAGTCCAGAGCTGGCTGTAAAGTTAATTTTTTGTTTCTGCCAGTCCTGTGCTTGTTGAGGAGGAAGGCAGAGTCCCCAGCTTGTTGGAGGAGAAGGTGGGACCTGAGCTTAAAACCACAATGGTCTCACTGACAACCAAGCATTGCTTCTTCCTGCAAAAAAACCCGGCCTCCTCTTCCATCGAGAAGTATAGCGATGATACCAAAAAGCATGGTTTCTTCCATTTCCCCAGAGAGGGTGTTGGGGGGAGGGGAAGGGGAGGTGCTATTCACAAGGCTATCAGAACATGCCAAGCTGCAGGACTCCAGCACCCCTTCCCCACAGCTGACCCACTAGTAAGCGAGTCTAGATTTCGCTCGCATAAGGGCAAAGGTGGTGGCTGCTTTAAGAAGTCCAACGCTACCGGTGTAGTGGAAAGAGCACCAGATGGAGGGCCAGAAGGCCTGGTTCAAGGGGTTCTTTCTCCCACTCTAAGTCTGGTTTCCTTGTATGCAAAACACAGAGGAACAGGTGTCCACGTGAATGAAGGAGGGTGTGGTGGAAACTAAGTATGAGTGAGGAGGCCAGTGTGCAGCAGGAGAGAGAAGTTATAGCGCCCCCTGCAGGACACTTTAAGAATTTACCAGTGACGCATTGTTCAGATGCCTCGGCACTGGTCCTGGGGGTTCTGATGGTGAGGGTGAGCTGTCCAGGCCTCAGGGTCATCCGCTGTGGAGTAGGGGTACTTCTCAACCTTGGGCCTTGGGGGAACAGCTGGATCTACGTCCTAAACAGACTCATGGCTTAGGAGGCAATTTCAGCTACTTAAAAATCAAAGGAATAAAGCAAGTGAGAGCCATAGGGCACCCTGTGGCTTGAGGCGATGTCATATCACAGGCTGTGTAAGTGCAACACTAGGGGTCAGCCCCCTGGTTTCCAATCCCCACTTTGCTGCTTACCAGCTCGAGCAAATGGCACACTCCTCTGTACCCAGTTTCTGCTCTGTGGAAAGGAAACTTTGCTCCTCCCAGAGTGGCCCCACTGGCAGTTTGACCACAAAGCTCCCAGTGCAGTGCCTGTACTCAAGAGCTGCTGTGAATATGATGATGGCCTAAGGTGACCCAGAGTCAGGGTAGACCCCTCTCCTGACTCCTAGTCCAGAACTTTGCAGGATTCCCTGCACTGTTTGCAAGTTGGCCGAATGGTGGAATACTAAAATCTTGATTTCCTAAGTCCTTCAGTTAGAAATTTCCTAAGTGACCTGTTGACCCCTTCCCAGTTGCAAAATAAGCCCATGGCGGGGGGCCTCAGGGTGTAGAGCTCAGTCAGCAATGTTGACACCCACAGGGAGAGGGAAAGGCACGCAGACTCTCCACCCCCTTTCTCCTCCCATTGTTCTCTTTAACCCTTCACAAATCAATGGGCAGATCCTGGGAAAGCTAGAGGATTTAGGGGTTTACCACAGAGATAGATAGGGGCATTGGGGCATTTGCAGAGGCTCAGCAGTACTGAGCAGGTCACCCAATGATACAATGACACAGCTAGTTAAGTAGTGGCCTTGAGTTTTAGTCCTAGGTTTGTCTGATTCCAGAGTCCAGGCTCTTTCAGGGGTCCCTCTTCTGCTTTTCAGACTGTCTGTCTCCTGGCCAGAGACTCTTTTAGGGAATTCCCAGGGTTTCTGAAGTTGTAGATAAAAAACCCAAACTCCTGGAGACAAGAAACTCCATTCACAATCACACTGAGACATTTGAGAAAGGTAACATCTCCAAGAAAAACAGCCTGATAAGAAAAACATCAACACCATTACATTTATGGTCTCTACTATTGCTGGAGTTCTGTGAAGGAAGAAGAATGTTGTCTTTTTTTTTTTTTTTTTTTTTTTTTTTTGTGAACTCCATGTGGCAGAACTAAACTCTCCAACAATACAAGAACACAATAAAGTTAAACCACACACAAAACAACAACAGAAAACCTCACCTAGCTGTAACCAGGTCCAGTACAAAAAGGTACAGAAGGAGGGTGGTTTTGTAATTTATCATTTGTAATTCCTGGAACTTTTTCCTCTGATAGTTTAAACTTTTTGGTCCTCTGGACTGATCTTCATGACTGCCTTAAAGAAAGAGTGAGAGGCTTTTTGGTTTTGGTTTTGTTGCAGGGCATGGTATTCCCCAGAGCTGATATCCCCAGCTGAAGGAACAAACGCCTCTGGAGCCCAGTCCCCAAATGACCCAAGTCACCTGACTGTTTATTCAGAAATCACAATGATTTCTTTTTCCTTCCTGCCCTTTTCCCTTTTCTTAGAGTTCAGTCCTGTTTCTGTTACTAGTTTATGGCATTAGGCTAGACACTGCCTCCTCTCAGAGACTCAGTTTCCTCAGTGATGAAATGGGGCTGTTCCTTTACTTACGCTACCAGGGTCTATCTCTGGGAGGCAGTTCAGCAGAAATAAAGAACTCTAAAGCCGCCATGGCTTCAAATCCCGGGTTCACACTATATTCTTGCACAAATCATTTTTTAAAAATTCTGTGTTCAGTTTCCCCATCTGCAAATTAAAGCTATTTGTACTACTTCATAGTCTTGACAAGAGGAGTGAATGAGATACAACATAAAGTACTTAGCAGAGTGTCTCATATCATATAGTGAGCACTGTAATAGCTGCTAAAACTGGGGCAGTTCTGGGCAAATTGGGATGGTCTGTCACCCTACTGGAAGACCAGATATACCAGGCAAGGCTACAGGGACTGAGAGATGGCCAAGAGTCCACCTGCCTAGTTTAACTCAGGTGCTGGTGTAGTGAGAGGAGCATCTGCTGAATCCCTTCATGTCCACACACTCACATCTTCTTCTTTTCCTTCAGAGGGTTCCAGACTTTGGTCCACCTGGTGAAAGGCAACATGGGCACAGGGATCCTGGGACTACCTCTGGCCGTGAAGAACGCGGGCATCCTGGTAAGAGGAATGGTAAAGGTGGGGCTGTTATGACTGGACTGTGGGAGGAGAAGAGATGCTCAAATTATTTAAACAGCTTGCCATGAGCATTCTCTCTGAGAGGCAACTGGTCCAGATTTGGACTCCAAGTTTGCCTCAGTTCTGCCTCAGGCACTAGCGACCTTAGCAAATCATTTGACCAATCTCTGAGCCTTAGTTTTCCCATTGCAGAATGCAAGGGGTGGACTGTGGCCAATTTTCCAATTATGCTGTATAGCACCTAGATGTCCTTGGGGATGCCTCAGAGGCCACCAGGAGGACTCATGGTCAAGTTTCTGGGTCTCCTACCCTCACCATAATACCTCATTAGAATTGCTTTTTGTACTGTGTTGGAATACTGCTTGAGATTGTATTTGAAATAATAGCTGTTTACTGCTAAAAATGGCTTGCAAACCAGTTTGCTAGCTAGGAGGTCCTTCATGGTACCTGCACTACCGAACCACTCCAAACATTGCTTTTCAAAAACCATTGTTTTCTATCTCTCTCTTGCCTCACCCCCACTGCCTCCCCTCCTGCAGATGGGCCCGCTCAGTTTGCTGGTGATGGGTTTCATCGCTTGCCACTGTATGCATATCCTGGTCAGGTGTGCCCGGCACTTCTGCCGCAGGTGAGGAAAACAGCATCCTTGAGCACATCTCAGAAACATCCTACACATAACGAAACATCTTACACATAATGAAAGTTGACTTCGTGTCCTCCATGAAAGCCAAGAAAAAGAGAAGAGCTTTCAGGGGTATAGAACTCTCATGTGGTTCATTAGGGTATCTCAATCAGACCATTGTTCTTACCTGGTTGGCTCACTATAAATTGGATGTAAATAACCCTTGCCTAACTCTGCCTCAGAGAATTGTCCTGAGCATCCCGTGGGGTCTGGGAGTGTGGAAACCACTGCACCCACACAAGGTGGGGATTATCATTCTCGCTCTGCAGTAACTACCTCACTTGGCAGATCTGGAAAAACAAAGCCCCATGGAATTATTGTCAGGTGTCAAAGCATGATCTAGAACTTAGATCTGTGCCTCAGTGTTCTTTACACTCTCTAGCTATGTGACCTTGCTCTAGCTCTCTTGATTTTTGAGTATATGATCTTAGGTTCAATTATTTCTTACAAGTGTGTGTGTGTGTGTGTGTGTGTGTGTGCTTTTTCCTGCAGGCTTAACAAGCCTTTTATGGACTATGGGCATACCGTGATGCATGGACTAGAAGCCAGCCCCAGCGCCTGGCTCCAGAACCACGCCCACTGGGGAAGGTATCTTGTTCTTGCTTTGTCAGAAGTAGGGAAGGACATAGGAGGAGAAAATGCGGCTAGCAAGGGTGCCTTCTTCCCTGGAAAGGTGGCTCATGTGGCTTGGAAGTCAGACTTTCCCAGAGAAGGAGTTCACATCCCTGATCCTGGTATACTTCTTGTATACCTCCAGTGATGATGGGGTGCTCGTTCCTTTATTAAGCAAGCTTTAGTGCTTGCCATTTTTTAATTAAATCTCACTTACCCAGTTGCTTCCAGGCCCTGGAAATGCCCTGGGAACAAGACAGACATCAAGGCTTTGTCCTCACACAATCCATAGTCCAGTGGGAAGGACAGCCATTAGACAGCTTAGAACACTTTTGCAATAATGTCTGGGATGGATATGATAAAGGAAATAAGTACTGGTTACTGCTTAGCAGATAGGGGCATGTCTGGGCTGGAATAGTCAGGAATAGAAGTCCTGAAGGATGGGGAATTAATTAATTAAGGGAAGAGAGGCAGGGACCAATCATGCTGTCTGTTTTAGACCCTCCTAAAGGTTTTGTGCTTTTCCTAAAGGTAACCAGGAATTCACGGGAGGATTTGAATGAGGGAAGTAATCATATTTGCATTGTTTAAAGATCTGTCTGGCTTCTGGGAAGAGAACAGATTGTAAGAGAGAAAGAGTAGTTTTTAGTCTGACCCATGAGGAAACTGTAGATAAAGTGTAGTCAGATAGCAATGGTGGCTGGGAACAAGCTGGTGGCAATGCTGATGAAGTAAAACCAATTCATGATTTAGTCATGAATTGGACCTTGGGGTTGAGAGAAAAGGGAAAAGTCAAGGTTGACTCAGATTTCTAATGACATCTATTTTGGGCAAGTTGGGTCTGAGGTGCTGAGGGATTTTCAGCAAAGCTATCTTGGGTGTATGTAGATTTGAACATATCACCATGCAAGACACACAAAACCAAAGTCATCAACCATGAAACCAGGAGCAGAAAAGGTCTCTCAGGAAGAAGTTGTACAGTGAAAAGAAAGAAAGACCAAGGACCCGTTCTTGAGTTGAACTCTTTCTGAAAATCCACCTTTTTGCTTTCAGAGTGACACAGACAAGTTAACATCTTTTGTATTCTGGTACTTAAATCTAAATCTACTCCGTTGTCTTTGTTTTCAGACCTGCCACCTCCCATCTGCCTTTTTTTTTTTTTGAGCACCATCTAGACTGTCAAAGGTCTCTCTTGAACTGTGATGCTCCAGACTACTACAGTACGTGCCATTCCCCTGCCATGTAATGTTGCCTACAGGAGATCCTGGGACTGGTGCTGCCTTGAGCCCAAAGCCCATACTCATATATGGAATTAGCAGTAAATTCAGCCTATGAACAGCCTAGGAAGGCTATGGGATGATTACTAGAACATTCCCAGTGATGTGACCCAAGAGGAGATTTTTGCCTGCCACGGCCCTGAAAATCCTTCTGCTCATTGTGGGGCATATAAGGAAACTTCTCCCACTCCATTTAGGGACTTTGTTCCCCTAATTATCTCATCTTCTATAACTTGAATTCCTTTACTATGGGCTCATCCTCTCAGCATTTAAATATGTTCATGTATCTCCATCTTAACAATAATAAAATTAATAACCAAAGATTTCTGGGCTTTACAGGATCCTATAAGATCTATCCTATCTTCAATTCATTCCTTCACAAAATAGCTGCTGGATACCTACTCTAGTGTGTCAGGAGGTACTTGAGGCAATGGATCCAAAATGCTGAACCAGATGGGCACCATCAAGATGGGCACCATCAGCCTAGCTTTGTGACAGCATCCCTCCTTTTGGCTTCACTTCCTGACATCCCATTTACATCCTTCCTGACACCTATTTTGCCCTTATCTCTAATTTTGTTGAAGAGAGAGTATAAGCCATAATAGGAAGGAACAAGGGGTTTTGCTGGTTGAGATAAGGATAGCTATACAGGGAGTTGACTCGCATTGATTTCCTGTGCTTGTGTGTTACCTTCTAGGTTAATTCTTTTTAATCTCACCTTTTCTCTGGTTCCTGGTCCCCTTCTCCTATTGGCCTCAGTTGCTTTTAAGGTATCTGCTTTAGTTTCTCTGCGTTAAGGGCAACAAATGCTAACTAATTTTTTAGGTGTCTTACCTATCCTTACCCCTCCCTTGTGTGCTAAAGCTTTTATCATGTGCTCAAAGTCCAATCCCCTTGTTGTGTTTGCCCTTGATCTAATGTCCACATATATGAGGGAGAACATACGATTTTTGGTCTTTTGGGCCAGGCTAACCTCACTCAGAATGATGTTCTCCAATTCCATCCATTTACCAGCGAATGATAACATTTCGTTCTTCTTCATGGCTGCATAAAATTCCATTGTGTATAGATACCACATTTTCTTAATCCATTCGTCAGTGGTGGGCATCTTGGCTGTTTCCATAACTTGGCTATTGTGAATAGTTACTGCCCTTAATCTTGCTCGCCAGTGGACTCTGCACATGGCAGCTAGAGAAATCTGGCCTGTTTCCTCTGCTGAATGCTCTCTCCTCACTTCTTTTCCTCCTTCTCCCTCTGGTTCTTCTCTTTCTCCTCTTCCTCCTCCTGTTGCTGTTGCTGTCCTGTTAGCAGGACTGGGGATTGAACCCAGGGGGCCAAGCACTTTACCACTTGACTATGCCCCCAGCCTCCTCCTACTCCTCTTCCTCCTACTCCTCTTCCTCCTCCTCTTTCTCTTTCTCCTCCCTACCTCCCCCTCCTCCTTTTCTTTCTCTCTTCACCTTCTTCCTCTCCCTCCCCTTTCTCCTCTTCTCTCTTTTTCCCCCCTTGCCAGGTGTTGGTTTTTCTAAGGCTTTCTGTCTGCCTATAATTTGGATAAAACACCCTTCTTTCCGTCTCTTTTCCTTATGGTTTAAGGATTGTCATAATAAGAAGAGGAGGGAAGCTAATGGATAATTACTGGAAGTTAGACATTTATGGGGACTTTCCTCACCATAACAACTCTTGGTGTGGTAATCGCCTGCCATCTGTAGTACAGCCAATACAAATGGAAAATAAATGTGGTTAAGGGAGAGAAATAGATAAAGACGGTTGCGGGGTTCCTCAAACTAAATAGATGCACAATGAATAAATTTTATTTAATTGGCAAATCTGACAATATGCATGGACCTTCTTTTATATTTGTTTTTTATAACTTAAAAGAGAACTAATGTTGGTAGTTAGTCTGTGTAAATGAGGAAAATGTCGTAGCTAAATGACATGTTTCTTTAAGTATTTAAGAGTTGCCACATGGAATGGTTATTTTTTTGAGCATATATTAATTACACAAAACAATGGGCTTCATTATGACATAAAATGTCCTTTTTACCATGCCCTCTGATGCCAAATTATAATGCTAATTTCTGTCCATCTCACCCACTAGTCTACAAACCACTAGAGGAAAGCTACCATGCGTTATCTCTCTGTGTGACTTCAGTGTATAAAACTATTGTGAATGTTAGTGACAGCTAATAAACACATTGTGCTTACTGTCCCTCACAATCAGTCCCAGGGATAAGGACTGCTGCCCAGCCAGGTGGCGGAAGCCTTCTGGCCATAAGAATTTACCACTTGTGCTGAGAGTGTGTGGGTGTCCGAAAAGCACTTTTAAAGGAACTATTGTTACCTCGCTTCTCTCTGCCCCATTGTTGATTGTGCTGGAAGGACCCAGGACCCAGGATGCTGGTACAGGGCCACCACCCCCTAGAGACAGGGCATAATGTCAAGAAATGGAACTGAAAAGTCACTTCTTTTATAACAAGTTTCTCTCCCTCCCCCTCCTCTTGCTCCCTTCTAGGCACATTGTGAGTTTCTTCCTTATTGTCACCCAGCTGGGCTTCTGCTGTGTGTATATTGTGTTTCTGGCTGATAATTTAAAACAGGTACGATGTCCTAGAGAAGGCGGGAGGGGAAAGACAAGCAAAAGGAGGCACCTCTCCTGGTTTAAAAACTTCATCTCTGAGTCCTACAGCAACAGAAGAGAAACCAGATGTTATCAAAGAACCAAGTCTCCCAGCTCATACAGCTGCAGATTTCTGTGTGGTTGCTTTTGTCACAGTACCCTCTCTGCCCATGTCTTACCCCTGCACTCAGCACCAGTCTCTAAAATTCTGAAATGGGAGCACCCTTGGAATTTGTCAGTCCTCCTGCCCTGGAGCTTAAATCATATCTAATGCTTCAAAAATTGAAGGGATCTCTTTTGGATGAAACCTAATCTTCTCTTCTTTGCGACATCTTTATCCACCTCTGGCTACTTAACCGATGGCTTAATACTTGTTCCCAGGGAGTCTTTTTTATTTTTTGCGGTACTGGAGTTTGAACTCAGGGCCTACACCTTGAGCCACTCCACCAGCCCTTTTTTGTGATGGGTTTCTTCAAGATAGGGTCTCGCAAACTATTTGCCGGGTCTGGTTAAGAACTGAGATCCTCCTGATCTCTGCCTCCTGAGTAGCTGGGATTACAGGAGCCCCCAGCACCTGGCTCCAGGCAATCTTTGATCTAATCTTAGAATTATCTTGCAGCATTTTGAGGGAGGTAATACAGGTAATAACAGATGTTCTCTTTAGTCAATAAGCTCAAGAAAGCAAACCATTCCTTTTTTAGCCTGTTTCTTATTTTGTATAATCGTGTAATAGTTGTACAGGGGATACGTTGTGACGTTTACGTATGTGCTTTCAATATAGCTTAATTAGATTATCCCCTCCATCTAAGAAAGCCATTCTTTAGAGCTCTTTTTCTGCTTATGTGAATAATACCAGAAATATATAAATATGAAAAGAAGGATAAACCAGTAAGCATTCGGAGTTGGTTTTTATCATGTATTAGAAACAGTGTTTTTTCTTATTTAATTCTCTCTATGACCTTTTCAGAGTAGGTTCCATGGGCATTCCTTGCTTTGCAGATGACGGAACTGAGGTCATAAACTCTATAAAGTACATAAGGTCACAGACCCAAGATTAAAAGCCCAGGCCTTCTAACATCAGCACTCATTTTTAAACACTAAACACTTATCTAAACAAAACAAACAAAAATTATTTTTAATCCAACTATTCATGGTTATAATTTAATTTAACATTAATAGTGTTAGAGTTTGGACGTTGAATGTCCCCTCGAGACCCCTGTGTTAAATGCTTGGTCCCCAGGGTGGCACCATTGGGAGGTGGTGGATCCTTCAGGAGGTGATGCCTAGAGGGATGACTGCAGGTCATTGGGGTGTGCCCTTGCAGTCCGCTCCCTTCCTCCCTTTGCTTCCTGGCTGATGGTGTGAGTGATTTTACTCCACCACACACTACCGTCCTGGTGTGGCCCCCCCCCACCACAAATCCCTGCAGAGAGGCCAATGGATCATGGACTGGAGCTTCCAAAACTAAGGCAAAATAAACCTTTTGTTTTAAAAGTTAATTATCTCAGGTATTTCATTACAGTGGTGGAATGCTGATTACCACAACTAGGTACCATTTTGCAATGTCTTTACATTTTTAAATGATCATTTTATTTTTTTATTTTAATTTTTTTTTTTTGGTGGTGGTACTGAGTTGAACTCAGGGCCCTGTGTTGGCTAGAGAGGCACTCTACCATTTTAGCCACCTCCCCGCCCTTTTGACATTGGTTATTTTTGAGCTAGCATCTTGCTTTATGTCCAGGCAGGCCTAGAGTGAAATTCTCCTATTTATACTTCCCATGTAGCTAGGATGATAGGCCTGTACCACCCCATTGCAACCAATAGATTTAGATGGACCCATGAAGTCTCAAGAACTTTTTTTGCCTGGGCTGGCCTTGAACTACGGTCCTCTTGACCTCAGACTCCAAGTAGCAAAGATTACAGGCATGACCCACCATGTCCAGCTTAAGTGCTACTTTTAATAGCTTGATAATATTCTATCGTACATGTTGACCATAGCATAATCAATCTTCTATTGCTCCATATTTCCTTTGTTACCTTTTGTGGTAATTTTGGTGGTGGTGGTAGTGGGTTTTCTTTTTTTTCAATTTGGCTTGGTTTGATCTTGGCAGTCCTGGGGTTTGAACTCAGGGCCTCCCACTTGCTAAGCAAGTGTTCTACCACTTGAGCCATACTCCCAATCTGTTTTTAGAGAGGGTCTCATGCTTTTTCCCAGGATGGCCTCAGACTACAGTCCTCCTACCACTACCTCCTGAGTGGTTGGGTTTATAGAAGTATACCACCACACTCAACCCAGTGGTGAGAGGTTATTTTTTGGTGGTGTTTGTTTGTTTGCTTTGAGACAAGGTCTCAGTCTGTAGCCCAGACTGGCCTCAAATTCTTGATCCTTCTGCCTCTGCCTCCAAAGTGCTGGGATCACACAAAGACCACTCCTGCATGTTGTTTTTCTATTATAATCGGTTCCAGCAACACATAGTTTTTGTGTAAGCTTTGCTTCCTTAGTATAATTCTTAAAGTAAAATTACTGAGTCAGAGAGTTTGATAATTTTGAAAGCTCTTAAAATACATTGCCATATTGCTCTTGAGAAAGCGATCTGATACCTGCAGCACTTTACTCCCTGCATCTATTACTGCCTACATTTATTTATTATCAAGGCAAGCACCAGCTTGAGGGATTTACCAGCTGAGTACAGTGTGTTCTAGAAAACAGAAAGAAAATATCAACATGCGACTGAGGTACCAGCACAGCCTGGCACTAACAGAACCCCACCTTCAAGGAGCTTCCTTGTGCCTCACACAGCAACAGAAAGGCCACCTCCAGGTGGTGCATCTGAGCTGGGCATGGAAGGGCAGCTTGGAGGAAAAATGTCAGCCATGGTGGGAGAGTGGACGAGTGAAGACCTAAGACAAGAATGTATGGGGCTTGCTCAAGAGAAGCAACAGGATGGAGTTACAGGAGAAAATGTTGGTCATGCATGAGGAAGAGCACTGAAACTTGGGCAGGGCCCATTTGTGGAGGTCCTTGAATACCTGGCTAATCTTCCAGGTATTTTTCCTACTATCCTGAGAAATCATTCTTTAAAAAATGTTGCCAGGTGTGATGGTTCACTCCTGTAATCCCAACTGCTTGGGAGGCAGAGGCAGGAGGATCTTAAGTTTGAGGCCAGCCCCAGCAAAGTTAGTGAGACCCTGTCTCAAAAACAAAAGATAAACAAAAGAGCTGAAGGTGTAGCTCAAGTGGTAGAGCACTTGCCTAGAGACAAACATGGGACCCTGGGTTCAATCCCCACTAACCCCCATACACAAGCACACACCACACAAAAAAAGACATAATGAATCATATTTATGTATCTATGGTGTATACTCAAGTGAAAATGGGGATGTCAAAATAAAAGAATGTATACTCTGATTGCCATCTTATAAAATAAGAATGTGTATCATGTAATTTGTGCTATCATATATAGGAAATACAGAAACAAATATCTTGCAAGATGTTCCTATGACTATCCATGAGTACTAAAATTAACAATGCTTTTACCCCCTTTTTTGGTGGTACTAAGGTTTGAACTCAGGGCTCTGCACCTGCTAGGTAGGCACTTTACTGCCTGAGCCACACCTCCAGTCCTATACTTTCTTCTTGCTTAACTCTAGTTAAGTTAGAATTCTATTGCTTGCACAATTGCATTGCTTGCATTGGTTAGGACTATGTTGATTTCAAACTTAGTACCATTCAACTTTGCCAGGGGCATTTATACTGTGTGTGTGGAGAGAGGGGTCTTGTTTACTAAAATGGTTGGAGAATATTAATAGCTTTTGTTGGTTGGAGTTCATGGGCATTAAATGTTCTATAATAAATGGTCCAGTCTCCACAATGAAGGGTTCTCTCACTCAGAATGCTAGCATTTGTCCAATTAAGACAGAACTAACTCTGTGGGTCAGTCACAAAGCAGTTGGTGATGAGTTTTTTAGTGCTAAACCAAAAGAAACAGATTCTGGAGAAATTTAAGCAGAAAATAAGTCCAGTGGAAGAATCTTAGCTAGCATAAAATGTCAGAGACAGCTAAAAGGCAGGTCTCAGAAAAGAACAGGAAGCAAGCAGCTAGATGAGGTAGACAGTAGAACTAATGAGCAGTCCCCTCTGATCCATGGTCAGAGTTCATTGTTACCTACTTCTGGTTCTGTCTCTGTGTCACTTGGCTTGAGGTTCAGACTCAGATTCCTGGAGAGTCTGAGTGCTCTAGCTGAGGTCAAGGCTGGCCCTTTGGCTTTGCCGTAAGCTTGTGATTTTCAGCCCTTGCAAGCTACAATCAACGACAAGAGAGAATCCACCACAAATAAATGGAGGCTGGGTTGCCCAAAGCCCAGCCATAGCCACTATAAAGTCCATCATTTGTCATTAGATTCATTATTTGTGTAACCTTTGAGGAAGCATGATGCAGAGGGTTTAGGATACGAAGTTTTAGGGGCTGGCAGTGTGGCTCAAGTGATAGAGCACCCGCCTAGCAGGCGTGAGGCCCTGAGTTCAATCCTTAGTACCTAAATAAATAAAAAGAAGTTATAAATCCTCCCTATTCACTTGAGATCCGCCCCCAAACCCTTTGTGAGGGATTTTGATTATGGGCAAAGCACGGAGCTCACCATGTCATCAGAAGACTTATTCTCTCCTCTTCCTTTACCCACTCCTTCTTCAGGTGGTGGAAGCTGTTAATAGCACCACCAACCACTGCCATTACAACCAGACGGTGGTTCTGACGCCCACCATGGACTCGCGACTCTACATGCTCTCCTTCCTGCCCATCCTGGCACTGCTGGTCCTCGTCAGGAACCTCCGGGTCCTCACCATCTTCTCCCTGTTGGCCAACATCAGCATGCTGGTCAGCCTGGTCATCATCACCCAGTACATCGCCCAGGTTGGTACACACCACCCAGTGTGCCTCCAGGGGGCAAGGCCTTGTATCAATAGCACACAGACTTCTAGATATGGTGGGCCAACCCAGGAATGGTTCAGAGTGTTTATTACTCCAGCTTAGGGCCAACCTCAGTGTAACATTTCTTCCATCTCATTCTTCTGGATATTTCCTCATTCGTGTTGTTTCTCCAAACACCTGTTTGTATTGTCAAAATCTGGCTTTAAAAAAAAAAACCTAGGTTATTTGCAAGGAAACATTTTGACTGGTAAACCATTCCTATAAGGGTTGGCTAGCAGCAAAGGTAGGTTAAAAAGTCCGTTCTTATACACAGTCTTATATCCTCTAGCTACAGTTTCAGGGACCCAAAATTATCCCTAGGGAACACTGGAGAAAGAAAGAAAAAAAAACGTATATTTAGCCACAGAAGTATAAATAGAGAGTCTCAAAACCCATAAGCAAATCTACTACAATGTTAATGACATCTTTGACATTTGTTGCCTTATGGGTGTTGATTTTCTCTCAATTCCCTTACTGCTGGTTCGTTCTCATTTTTCTTTAATAGTAGACAACTGTATTAGTTTTTCATCACTATGACAAAATGCTTGAGAAAAACAACCTGAGAGAGGAATGACTTATTTTGGCTCACAGTTTCAGAGGTTTCAGTCCATGGTTGGCTGGCTCCAGTGCTATGGGCCTGAGAAGAGTCTGAAACATCAGGGCAGAAGGGCTTGGCGAAGGAAAGCTGCTCACTTCATGGTGGCCGGGAAGCAGACAGAAGGGGGCTGGGCATAAGATATACTCTTCACAGGCATCAGTTACCTGGGTCCTCCAACCAGGCCCCATTCCTAGTTTCTAGCATGTCCCAATAATGCTATTAAACTATGATTCCATCAGTGGATTAATCCATTGATGAGGTCAGAACTCTCAGGATCCAGTCACCCTCGGTGATTGGATCCATCAGCTGAGACCAAGTCTTCATCACATGAACTTTGGGGGAAACTTTATATCCATGCCATAATAAAAATTGAAGGTCCAGAATCCCCTTAGCACATCCAATAGCTTTCAGGTATTTTCTCTCTGAGAATGCACAAGAGAAAATAAGTTAATATGACATGGAAATTAGAAAAAATCATAAATTACCCAAACATTTTAGAATAACTACAGATCAGTTTTGTAATCTTTAGGAGTTATTAAGTATACACAATTGAATTCCCAAGGAGATAGCTATTTCTGATCTGTTTTTTGGACTATCCAGACAGTGCCCAGGTTGAAAACTAATTCTGTAATTGTCTCACATTCTGGGTCACCTAGTCATAGAATATTTACTCTATATTTGCACATTCTCCTTCCCTTCAATTTATAGCTCATGAAGGAAAAAGGGACTTTCATATTTAGCTCCCTAGAATATTCTTTTTTTTTTTTTTCACTGAGAGAATTGTTTTTTTTTTTTTATTTTTTGGGGTGTGCAGGTGCCTTTATTGTAATCTGACTTACATTCCTTCAGATATATCCCTAGGAGAGGAATTTCTGGATCATATGGCAGTTCTATTTTTAGTTAGTTTTTTTTTTCCTTTTTCTTTTATTATTCATATGTGCATACAAGGCTTGATTCATTTCTCCCCCCTGCCCCCACCCTCTCCCTTACCACCCATGCCGCCCCCTCCCTCTCCCCCCCCCCAATACCCAGCAGAAACTATTTTGCCCTTATTTCTAATTTTGTTGTAGAGAGAGTATAAGCAATAATAGGAAGGAACAAGGGTTTTTGCTGGTTGAGATAAGGATAGCTATACAGGGCATTGACTCACATTGATTTCCTGTGCATGGGTATTACCTTCTAGGTTAATTCTTCTTGAACTAACCTTTTCTCTAGTACCTGTTCCCCTTTTCCTATTGGCCTCAGTTGCTTTTAAGGTATCTGCTTTAGTTTTAGAATAGTCTATAACTATAGTAACAGTAATTTCCAGTACCCATGACCACTGTCCATTTAAATATAGTCTTAGATACTTTAGGCTGGCACTCATTTTTGATGTGTAAAGTTTTCTCTTAGAGGTTCCTGATAAACCAAGCCTGCTCTGTGAGATACTAATCCTCAATACTTTGATAATATCTCCATGTCTTTGTCCTCTGGCTCTTTGTGCTATGCAATGTTAAAATCAATATTGATCCTTGCTACTTCTTTCTGATTTCTGGACTTATTAGCATTCAATTCGTAAGAATCCAGGCCTCCTCTAAGAATACCTCTCTCTTAAAGGATCTCAAGTGTGGTTTGAGAGTGACTACCTCAGGTATTTCTCTCTCCTCTAGGAAATTCCAGATCCCAGCCAGTTGCCACTGGTAGCAAGCTGGAAGACCTACCCTCTCTTCTTTGGAACTGCTATTTTTTCATTTGAAAGCATCGGTGTGGTAAGGTTTGATGGGGGCGGCCTTTCTCTGGTGCTGTGAGCAGCCTTCTGAGAAGGAGCTGTGAGCTCTGGGTTTCTCTGTCCTCTTGGCCATTGCATTGGGCCTGCTGGAAAATACACATGGGAGAAAGTCACCTCTGGCCTCACTTGGGTCAATTGTCACCAACAGAAGAAAAGTAGCTTACAAAAGATAGGAGAAAGTGTATTTTTATCTCATTTTGCCTATCAGCATTTATCTTCCTATCAACATGAGTTTTTAATCTTTTAAAGTCAAGACTAGTGGTAGTACACCATTTAAATGAAATGATTTGATTAAATATAAAGGAATTTTAAACTGATAAGAACTGGATATTTATAATGCTTATATAGTCTCTACTTCCACATTTGAGGAAGGTAAAATAGTTTATATATTTATTTGCTTTTAATCTTCATACAATAAAACTCAGGGTAGAATACATTTCCGTTCAGTTTTGAAAAATGTGTTGAGTTGTAGATGTACCACAATCAGGACACAGAAAATTCTCACACAAAAGACTCCCTCGTGCTGCTTCCTCACCATGAACCCTAGCCCCACCTTCTGTCCTGTTCTGTCTCTACTGCTTTATCTGTTCCAGAATGTCATACAAATGGGATTACACAGACATAACCTCCCGAGACTGGCTTCTGCCAGTCGCCTAAGCGTTTGAGACCGACTCATGCTAACCCAGTGTACCGGGAGCTTGTTCCTACACAGCCAAGCACGCACTGTGTGCACTGCACCACGTTTTACCAAGTCGTGGGTTGAAGAGCGCTAAAGCCATCTCTAGATTCCACAATTGCAAACCTTGTGACTGTAAGCATTTTTGTGGGGCTTTTGTGTGAATGCAAGTTTTTATTGCTCTACTAGGTTTGCTAGGCCCCACAACTTTATAAGAAAGTGCCCAACAGTGTTCAGAGTGACCGTACCATGTTGCATTCCCACGAGAAGTGTTCTGCACCTGCAGAGAACACTAGCACTCGTGCGTACCGTCAGCATTTGGGGTTTTTGTCTGCGGTGCTGGGGATGGAACCCAGGTCTTCACACATGCTAAGCATATACTCTACCACTGAGCTACATCTCCATCCTAGTGTTTTTAGTTCAGCTATTCTGATAGGCACGTAGTGGTATTTGGTTATCATTTAATTTGCATTCTACTAATGAATGATGATTCAGAACATCTTTCTATGTGCTTACTTGGCATCTCTACATCTTCTTTGATAAAGTCTCTTTAATATTTTTTTTTTGGCACTGGGGCTTGAACTCAGGGACTGTACCTTGAGCCACTCCACCAGCCCTTCTTTGTGATGGGTTTTCCTGAGAAAGGGTCTCTCAAACTATTTGCCTGGGCTGGCTTTGAACCATGATCCTCCTGATCTCTGCCTCCTGAGTAGCTAGGATTACAGGGATGAGCCTGGTTTCCAGCCAGTTCAATTTTTTAATAAACATTTTTAACTGAGTTTTTTTTTTAATTAATTAATTAGTTTATTTTTTGGTGGGACTGAGGTTTGAACACAGGGCTTCTCACTTGCTTCAGGCTTGCAGAGCAGGTGCTCTATCATTTGAGCCATGCCTAGACCTCCTGAGTTGTTTTATGATTCAGTTTTCAGAGTGCTTAATGCAAATCCTTGAATATGTAATTTCAAAATATTTTCTCTAGTCTTGCTTGTCTTTTTATTCTTTTTTTTAATTTTTATTTTTTTATTATTCATATGTGCATGCAATGTTTGGGACATTTCTCCCCCCTGCCCCTACCCCCTCCCTTACCACCCACTCCGCCCCCTCCCTCTCCGCCACCCCCTCGATACCCGGCAGAAACTATTTTGCCCTTATTTCTAATTTCGTTGAAGAGAGAGTATAGGCAATAATAGGAAGGAACAGGGTTTTTGCTAGTTAAGATAAGGATAGCTATACAGGGAGTTGACTCACATTAATTTCCTGTGCTTGAGTGTTACCTTCTAGGTTAATTCTTTTAGATCTAACCTTTTCTCTAGTTCCTGGTCCCCTTTCCTATTGGCCTCAGTTGCTTTTAAGGTATCTGCTTTAGTTTCTCTGCATTAAGGGCAACAAATGCTAGCTAATTTTTTAGGTGTCTTACCTATCCTCACTCCCTTGTGTGCTCTCGCTTTTATCATGTGCTCAAAGTCCAATCCCCTTGTTGTGTTTGCCCTTGATCTAATGTCCGCCTATGAGGGAGAACATAGGATTTTTGGTCTTTTGGGCCAGGCTAACCTCACTCAGAGTGATGTTCTCCAATTCCATCCATTTACCAGCGAATGATAACATTTCATTCTTCTTCATGGCTGCATAAAATTCCATTGTGTATAGATACCACATTTTCTTAATCCATTCGTCAGTGCTGGGCATCTTGGCTGTTTCCATAACTTGGCTATTGTGAATAGTGCCACAATAAACATGGGTGTGCAGGTGCCTCTGGAGTAACCTGTGTCACAGTCTTTTGGGTATATCCCCAAGAGTGGTATTGCTGGATCAAATGGTAGATCATGTTAGCTTTTTAAGTAGCCTCCAAATTTTTTTCCAGAGTGGTTGTACTAGTTTACATTCCCACCAACAGTGTAAGAGGGTTCCTTTTTCCCCGCATCCTCGCCAACACCTGTTGTTGGTGGTGTGCTGATGATGGCTATTCTAACAGGGGTGAGGTGGAATCTTAGTGTGTTTTAATTTGCATTTCCTTTATTGCTAGAGATGGTGAGCATTTTTTCATGTGTTTTTTGGCCATTTGAATTTCTTCTTTTGAGAAAGTTCTGTTTAGTTCACTTGCCCATTTCTTTATTGGTTCATTAGTTTTGGGAGAATTTAGTTTTTTAAGTTCCCTATATATTCTGGTTATCAGTCCTTTGTCTGATGTGTAGCTGGCAAATATTTTCTCCCACTCTGTGGGTGTTCTCTTCAGTTTAGAGACCATTTCTTTTGATGAACAGAAGCTTTTTAGTTTTATGAGGTCCCATTTATCTATGCTATCTCTTAGTTGCTGTGCTGCTGGGTTTCCATTGAGAAAGTTCTTACCTATACCTACTAACTCCAGAGTATTTCCTACTCTTTTCTGTACCAACTTTAGAGTTTGGTCTGATATTAAGATCCTTGATCCATTTTGAGTTAATCTTGGTATAGGGTGATATACATGGATCTAGTTTCAGTTTTTTGCAGACTGCTAACCAGTTTTCCCAGCAGTTTTTGTTGAAGAGGCTGCTATTTCTCCATCGTATATTTTTAGCTCCTTTGTCAAAGACAAGTTGGTTATAGTTGTGTGGCTTCATATCTGGGTCCTCTATTCTGTTCCACTGGTCTTCATGTCTGTTTTTGTGCCAGTACCATGCTGTTTTTATTGTTATTGCTTTGTAATATAGTTTGAAGTCAGGTATTGTGATACCTCCTGCATTGTTCTTTTGACTGAGTATTGCCTTGGCTATTCGTGGCCTCTTGTGTTTCCATATAAATTTAACAGTAGATTTTTCAATCTCTTTAATGAATGTCATTGGAATTTTGATGGGAATTGCATTAAACATGTAGATTACTTTTGGGAGTATCGACATTTTTACTATGTTGATTCTACCAATCCATGAGCATGGGAGATCTCTCCACTTTCTATAGTCTTCCTCAATCTCTTTCTTCAGAAGATTATAGTTTTCCTTGTAGAGGTCATTCACATCTTTTGTTAGGTTTACACCTAGGTATTTGATTTTTTTGAGGCTATTGTAAATGGAATTGTTTTCATATATTCTTTTTCAGTTTGTTCATTATTAGTGTATAGAAATGCTAATGATTTTTCTATGTTGATTTTATATCCTGCTACCTTGCTATAGCTATTGATGATGTCTAGAAGCTTCTGAGTAGAGTTTTTTGGGTCTTTAAGGTATGGGATCATGTCATCTGCAAATAGGGATATTTTGACAGTTTCTTTACCTATTTGTATTCCTTTTATTCCTTCTTCTTGCCTAATTGCTGGCTAGGAATTCAGTACTATGTTGAATAGGAGTGGAGATAGTGGGCATCCTTGTCTGGTTCCTGATTTTAGAGGGAATGGTTTCAGTTTTTCTCCATTAAGTATAATGCTGGCTGTAGGTTTGTCATATATAGCTTTTATAATGTTGAGGAACTTTCCTTCTATTCCTAGTTTTCTTAGAGCTTTTATCATGAAATGGTGTTGGATCTTATCAAAGGCTTTTTCTGCATCTATTGAGATGATCAAGTGGTTTTTGTCTTTGCTTCTGTTAATGTGGTTTATTACGTTTATTGATTTTCGTATGTTGAACCACCCCTGCATCCCTGGGATGAAGCCTACTTGGTCGTGGTGAATAATCTTTTTGATGTGTTGTTGAATTCGGTTTGCCATTATTTTGTTGAGGATTTTTGCGTCAATGTTCATTAAGGAGATTGGCCTATAGTTCTCCTTTTTGGAGGTGTCTTTGCCTGGTTTGGGATAAGTGTAATACTGGCTTCATAAAATGTTTAGGCAGTTTTCCTTCCCTTTCTATTTCATGGAACAGTTTAAGGAGGGTTGGTATCAGTTCTTCTTTAAAGGTCTGATAGAATTCAGCAGAGAATCCATCAGATCCTGGACTTTTCTTTTTGGGGAGACTCTTGATTGCTGCTTCAATTTCATTTTGTGTTATAGGTCTACTCAGGTGATTAATTTCCTCTTGGTTCAGTTTTGGATGATCATATGTATCTAGAAATCTGTCCATTTCTTTAAGATTTTCAAATTTATTTGAATATAGGTTCTCAAAGTAGTCTCTGATGATTTCCTGGACTTCCATGGTGTTTGTTGTTATCTCCCCTTTTGCATTCCTGATTCTACTAATTTGGGTTTTTTCTCTCCTCATTTTAGTCAGGTTTGCCAGGGGTCCTTCGATCTTATTTATTTTTTCAAAAAACCAACTTTTTGTTTCATTAATTCTTTGTATAGTTTTTTTGGTTTCTATCTCGTTGATTTCAGCTCTTATTTTTATTATTTATCTCCTTCT